TGCCACGACTGGGGCGATCGTCGCCAGCCCCGAGCGCTCGGCGACGAAGCCCGCGACCTCCTTGGAGAGGAGGGGCTCGATCACCTCCCGCGCGCGCGCCGCTAGCTTCGACTTCCCCAGAGCACCTCCCGACCCGCTGCCGATGCCCCGGCGCGCCCAGCAGGCTCGCGGACTGCTGCCAGCCCCGCGTCGTCGCACCTCGGCGGGAAGCAGTTCCACTCGAAATCTGTGAATCTTTTCCACCGGTCGAAGCCCGCCTGGATCCCCGCCGGGGCCAGCAGGCAGCACGCTCGGGATGCCGGTAGCGGAAGCTCTGCCATCTCGCGGCCTGCCCCCCTGGCCTTCGCACGCCCCAGCATGGCCGTCGGCCTTCCGCCCACGAAAGCGAAACGCCGCAGCGGGGGCCAGCTGCGGCCAGTTGCCGCAGCGTCACAACACCTGCACCTCAAAGAGGCGAAGCCGCGCCGCCCCGCGCAGGCACCGCGCGGGGCCGTCGCCCATGCCCGGCCTTTCCAAGGCACCGATGAACGCACTGGGGAAACGCGCTGACCTCGTCGGTTTCTCGCCCACGCTGGGGGCACCCCTGCGTTCGCGACGACCTGCTGCGCCCGCGGCCGACCAGGGGGCCCGTCGCTCGCACCAACGCCCGCGACCCGCCCGGCCGTCGGGCGCCGTCGGCCCGCGCGGCTCGGCCGCCCCGGCGCGCGCGAAGTCTACGAAGTGGACGATCGCTGAGAGGCGCGGGGCCCCGCGCGCGCACAAGAGCCACCGCTGCGTCGTCTCCGTGGCGCGCGCGTGCGACCTCGCCGCGCTGATGCGCGCGCGGCCCGCGATGGGGCCCTTCGCCCGCTCTGGGCCCATGCAGGCCTGCGCCGCCCCGAAGGAAGGTGCTCTCATCTCCTCGAGCAGCGCGATCAGGCGAGGCTTCCACAGAGCCCGCTCCAGCACCACTGGACCAGGCCGCCTGCCCTCAGCGGCTACGCGGCACCTCGCGAGGCGGACCCCGCAATCACGGGTGCCCACGGCGGCGGCGGGGCGTCGGCCACGCCTCGGCAGTCCGTCAACCGCAGGCACGCCGCGGCGTCCTCCAGCATGGCCCGTCCAGGGCAAACATCGCACGCCCTGAAGCGTTTCTGAATGTGTGTTCTTGTCCGCAACGGCCCGATCTACGAACGCCCTCAGCGGCTACCGCGACTCCTCCACGCTGAGGCCCGCGGCTTCCGCAACCTGCGCGAAGGTCTCCTCGAATTCGGCCTTCTCCGCCTGCAGCTTCGGGCGCGGGCCGAGAACGTCGCGCTCGAGCAACGCACTGCTGACCCGCCGCCGCGCGGCGTCGAGGGCGCGCGGCCCGAGGGCCAGCATCTGCGCCCAACCGTTGCTCAAAATCGGCGAAACGCCTGACATGTTGCAATGTTGGTTATCAAACTGTGGTTACCGCTTCAAGTTCTTATCACTTAAAGGCCCGAAGCTCGAAAGCACGTAGCACGGCGCAGGTGGAGGCATGCTCCTGGTCAAGATGTGGATACCACTTTAGATTTCCGCGAAGCTCACGACCACAAGCGCGCACGGGTGCAACAGCTACTTGGGCGGGGGGCCGCCCTCCATTGCCATGGGAATATCGCTAGGCAGCTCGCTGAACTGTATGATCGTAGCTTTTCGTGTTCCGGACTACTCGCCAAAACAATGCAAGGCAGCTCCTGTTGAAAATTTGACCCTGGCCACACTGGCAGGCCCATATTTGGTGCTGGTCCCTCTACGGGAAGGGGGGGGGGGGGGAATGGGGGGGGGAAGAGGGAGAAACGCATCTTGCAGTTTTGTAGAGGAGGAAGCAACCAACAACAAAAAAAAACAATCAAAAAAAAAAAAATGTAGACACGTGCGAGGAGGGGGCTTGGGACGGGAGGGTGTTTTGGGTGTACGTACTCTGGTCCCCCACCCCCTAACTCTCCCAGTTCCCACTGCCCATCGCCGACGTCGTCTTCGACATCGTCCTCCCCCATCACCGTCCCTCTCTCCCTTCCCCCCATTCTCTTGACATTGCCGCCGTCTGCACCGGCGTCGGTGCTCGGACGCTGCCATCCCCTGGAACGATCGCCCCGCGGTGAGAAATCAAACGATGCAACCTGCAAAGTGGACAAACACTCCTCCTCCTCCTCCTCCTCCTCCTCCTCCTCCTCCTCCTCCTCCTCCTCCTCCTCATCATCATCATCATCACCATCATCATCATCATCCACCACCACCCCACCATCATCATCAGCATCATCCGTATCATCATCATCCCTATCAAAAAATGATAACAATCATAATAATCATAATAATAATAATAATAATAATAATAGACATCATCATCATCATCATCACCATCAGCAGCAACAGCAGCAGCAGCATCAGCATCACCATCAGCATCATCAGTCATCATCATCATCATGATCATCATCATCAACATCATCATCATCATCATCATCAGCATCATCATCATCATAATCATCATCATCAGCATCATCAGCATCATCATCAGAATCACCATCATCATTATCATCATCATAACAATCATCATCATCATCATCATTATCATCATCATCACCATCATCATTGCCACAATCAGCATCATCATCATAATCATAATCAACATCAGCATCATCAATATCATCATCATCAATGTCATCATCATCATCATCTTCACCATCATCATCATCATCACCATCATCATCATCATCATCACAAGCACCATCAATTAGCAGCATCATCGTTCACATTATCATCATCATCACCACCACCACCATCATCATCATAATCATCATCATCATCATCAT